ACAAAACTCAGACATATTTGTGTCTGCACAGTCTTCAAATTTAGGCGTTTTGATATAGTACGTTTCAGGTAAAGCCATGTACGGCCTAGGATAAGCTCATAATTACCCAGGTTTGTAAGAAGGAATTTTATAATTTCATTGTGACCGTCGATTTTGAGTCGAAGAGATACGGTATGTGTAATTTGAGCAGAAAGCGTACCATTTACAAGATAAAGTTAGCGGGGGGCTTGGGAGTGGAGGTTTTGTCTTTGCGCACAGTCGAGGTTGTAAAAGTTATCAGTGGCTCCGCGATCGAGTAATGCTTTTATATAAAAGGTATTTCCTAGAGAAATATTTGAACAGGAAAGAAGATGATCATAACCTAGTGGCGAGGGAGAGAAAATTTGTAGGTTATTAAAATTATGATTGTGTAATTTCTCATCCCTTTATGTGCTGGTGACCTCTGATAAACTATATAATTGATTATAATCTTGTCCCTGTTCGCGACTTTGACCAGAGACTATACTTTTTCCTCCTCGATTATAGTCTTCTTATCGGCAGATTTTTTCTTGTCTTTGTTCCATCGAGCTTCTACACAAACTCGCGCCTGGTGACCTGGGTCATAACACCAACTACAAAGTTTATTTTCGAAACAGTAGTTCTGTTCAGCACTCTTCTCTGCTTCATTCCGGGGAATACGGTGATTTGCAGCGTCAGAAGATGTCAAACATCTGACTGTTTGGAACCTACTGAATATGGTAATGAGAATCATTGGATAGTGGGATGACACATCTTGTCAGATTAACTAACTCGAGCTTTGATATCTCACCAGGGATATGGTGATCAGGATGACTAGGATGTTCAGGATGTTCAGGATGTTCAGGATAGTCAAAGCTCTGACATGAGATCTTTTGATCTTCAACACATGTAATATATTTCATATGTAATTTTGGGAAACGATGAGAAGATAATCTCTTCTCGAAATAGTTTCAGATGGGTATATAGCATCACTGCTGGAGAGGAGTTGAGGAGCAGAGATTTCATCAATACCACTTTACTTTACATTTTTCATTTGACCCTCAGTGTCTAACAGAAGATGTCCAAACAATAGCCGGGCCGATTTTTGCTGCACCCAGGTCCATTGGATCTTTAGGTGGGGGGTACAAGGCAGTGCTAGGGAGAGGAAGAAACGAGTGGCTACCTGAGGCTAGACTACTAATTGTATAATTTGGGTTAGTAGAGCGAAGTACTGCATCAATATGCCTAACTTCAATTGAGTATGACTTCAGGTCTGTAGGAAGTGGCTGGTGGAGCACCACACGATTTTGGATCTGGGCTTTTATGTTCAGGTGAAGAGAGTCATAAATGATTGATTAGAGCATTGTCGGAGAGTTTTGTTTTTTGGGCTACTTCAAACTAGTCAGAGATATGTGTAGCCATATCTTTTTGGCTCTGTTTTATTGTCAGGATTTGACGGCAAGCGAAATTTTGTTCATCGAAGTCGGCAAAAGCTTGTTCTAAGGGAAGAAGATTTGCATCTGTTGAGGTAAAATTGACTGTACGTTCCTATTAATTCAAGAAGCAATTTTTGAGTAGGCTTTTCCTTTTAGACGAGAAACTAAGTACAACATCTTGCTATGCTCTGTGGGGTACCAATCTTCATTTGCGATGAACTTCATGTTAATTTTACGAACAAAGACAGGTAGATCCTTTGCAACCCAGCATTTTTGGCTGAGAAGATGTCAAGTTCCGGATGTTCGGCTGATCGTAACTGGCTTGTAGGTAGTTCATTTTTTTGTGTTCAAATGGTGGAAATATCGCTCAATGAAATGGGCGCAATATTCGTGGAACGAAAGTAGAAGTTGACTAAAAGAGTGTCATGTTCGGATTATAGCTAAAAGTGTAGGAAGTTTGCGCTACAAGTACAAGTGTAAGCGACACATAGCCTAGGCCACAGCATAAACGAGTGTGGCGCCATCTAGGCATAGAAAACCCTCAATAACCTCCTTGTGCCCACGCCATACAGCCGCTCATTTGTCCAATAGGTAGCCTGAAGCGCTACCATATTACCTACTTCAACCTCTTAAATACACACGAGATTGCGTCGGGAGCGTAGACGAAATTGAGGGCCCGTACGTCCACAACACTCCGTGTCTCCATTTACAACATTCATCAATGCCGCAAATGACCTATCTTTTGTCTTTTGAAGCACCTCTCCTTTTCCCATTGCCCACTGACGACACGCCAAGACCATATGTTTGACATTTCGAGACGGATATCCACCCTGGCATTTAGGATTAATCACTCCGGGGATTTTCCTTCGATACATATAAGGATTGAGACCAATGTGCTCACCTCTCATCTGAACTGCAATACTGATTTGGGTCCTGCTAAGGTTCCGGTGGATATTTGAGGGTGTGTTTCTATGTGTAATCCTTTTTCTGCCTGTTGTCTCATCCGTAATAATATTTGCGGCTTTCCAATGTTCAGGGTCTGCCAAAGCTCTATGGACAGATAGTATCTCGTTCCCTGGACGTGTCCATGAGTTTTTCACTCCTGGAAGGCGACCACCTTACCGGCTTCTTTTTGTCTTCCTTTTGCATTCTCAATGCCACAAATTCTGGTCCATTCTTCAATGTCTTGCTTTCGATTCTTGGCGTGCCTATTCTCGGTTCTCCTTGTGGTCTGCTTGACTTTGCTGCACGCAGATAGTATCGACCTCCTGACAGGTAGTCCTTCTGATAGGCCGACGTGCTGTACCCTCCTTTGCTTCAGGTAGTGTAAATAGGTTTATTCTTGGGGTTGAATGTATATATAATTTGTATTTGAAATGAATTTTGTGTGAGAAATTCTTATCGACTTTAGTTGTTGTCGATATTGTTTATGTATGTCTGTTATCACAGACATTGGAAATAATTCATGAAATTGCTTAATGAGTGGCTAGATTTGATTCCGATCTAATATTGTAGAATACTTGTCCCAACTATCAGAGGGCTACAACGTCTTTATCTATCTACAGGTAAATTCCCCATATTCCAACCACGCTAGCCATACAGGGCGTAGCATGTAAAGCCTGATTCGTATCATCATTTTGGGGTTGAGGTTTACCGTGCATATGCTACTCGAGTCGCATGTCTGACTACTATGCGACACGCTTACGTATCAATCTAACAACCCACACCAAAACCGAAACTACTCATAACCCTGATGATGACCCCATGAATAATTGGAACAGTAGCCTGCAACATAGCACAATTAGGCTAGACATCGTTGACCAGGACCTAATCCGAACAAATTCTTTTCCCAGTTATATGACTTAAAAATCTTCATACTTAAACTTTGTTAAATTTGGGTTGATAGATTTGCTTATTTCTTTTTATTTTGTTTAATATTTACGCGTGAAGGCAGTAATTCACTATGTTTTGGTGGACAATATGTCACGAGAAGCTTTCTTAGCTGGGGTTGACGAGGTCTAATCTTGTTGAATGAAATTGTCAACAATGAAAGAAAAGATATCTAAGTATCTACAAAATATATATTTACAGTGGGCCGCTGTTTTGATTAAGCGAGTTCATATGACTTATGCGAATCGTCCGTTTCCTGACACGACGGAGGAAGCAAAGCGTGGCGCACAAATGTGGGAGACGGTTCTTTGGGGATGGACGTGAGAGGATTCAGGACGAGTTCACAAGACGATGCAATGGGAGGATATAACCTCGAAGGGATGAGTGCTCCTCCTTTACGATGAATCATCTCTTCTGTAATTTTCTTTGATATCGTGTCGTAGTTAGATAGCTGCATACGCAATTAAAATCTTAAGCAAAAAAAGATCCTCGAAGGACGTGAATTTCTGAATTTTGGCAAGAGCTTTACGAATTAATCTTTGGGCGCGCCAAGACTTCGCTTGCGAGAGTGCAGCTGACACTATAAAAACAAGCAAACGATGGAAGATGCCGTGGCCCGCCTCCTGGTGATGTTCTCTGGTATAGTCTGAGTAGCCTGGGCACCTACTCCACTTAGGAAGGAGACATCTCAGATTACATTTCGCGCGGAGAAAACTTGATGGATGACGGAGGCATGTCTGGATAATCCAGGGTTTTTGAGACGTTCCCCTGGGTGGGTATTCACGGATGAGGGTTGACTTGGGGTGAAGAAAAAGCCACCATAACTTCGCAATGGTACTTGCAAATTAAACCTGAGGCATGAGTGCTCCTCTTGTAAATTGAGTCATCTTTTCTGTACTTCTCTGATGTTGTGTCATAGCTAGATAGCTGCATATGCCATTAAAATCTGATGCAAAAAAATTAAAACCCTATTTTTGGATTTTTTTATATTTTTCGTCCGTCGGGGCGCCAAGCTTGAATTAGGTCCCTACTACCCACTAAGCTAGCTAGGGGCATGGACGCCAGTGCTTACTGCTCTGGTAGCTTCGCCCTTGCTACTTCCTAACTAGATTTGCAGGGTAATTCTCTAATGACATGATTGCATATAGCGTAGCACCTGCACTTTTACAGCCAGTCCCCAGGGCTCGTAACTCCTTTGATGTATTACAACCACTCTGGGGATGCTACTAGTAGTCCTATTCAGAAATACCGCACCATCCATCCAGACTGCATACCTGCCGTACTGGCGCAGACAGTAAGACCCCATAGGATTAATCCCGTGACAAACCCAAAATAAAAGTATCTCTAAGGTCAAAAAATTCATCAGAAATGTACAAAATGCACTTATTGATCATCGAAGCTGCATGACTCGGTATACATTAAATAGCACAGAAAAACCCTTCCTCCCTAAACAGGAATTGGTGTGTAATTTGATAGCTTGCCATTACAGTTAGAGGAAGTACCACGTTTTGATAAACGTAACTTACTCGGAGATATAATTTTCTCTCTCCAGCTCATCTCAATATGTTATTGGCCCTAACATTTCCTGAATTTCATGTCTCTATAAATCTAAATTCCATAAGTCCGCTATGAAACTCGACACAATTTCTGCCAAATTATAACCATATCCACTTCCCATTAATAGCCATATTGTGGGACTTGCCTCATTTTTGGAAGTATTTGAGGCCCATAGAATCCCATATATGCTGGCATTCCAGGTTGAGATAAGTGAGGATTGTGGAAGTAATTTGGCGGTGGTGGTGGCTGACACGGTTGAACCTGATGATAGATAGGTCCGTGAGAGATTGGAGGGTTAGACGGAAATTGGCTCATAAACTCTCTAGGATCCACAAAGTGTGGATTGGCAGGAAACTGCGACATTTGGTTATAAGCCCCATTTACAAAATGAGGCTTGTATGGGTTCCAATGATTATCCGGCAAAGGCGGGTAGCCGTTACAGTTTTGCACCATTAACCGGGAAGCTCTCGCACTCTGAGATTGGTGTCTGAGCCGTTCCGTTCGCAGTTTCTCCTTGCGGACCTCTCGTTGGAGATCTTTCGTCATGGCTATCAGCTCTTCTTCCTTTCGTCTAAGGTCGTCCAGACGCTTTTGAAGCTTAGAGTTGTGAGCCGAGAGCTCCCGCACTCTCCTCTTCTCGTCTTGAATACCTGTCCTCACGGCCCCAAGAAGTTCTTGCAGATATGCCACATCTAAAACTTCATCTGTGAGAAACTCTTTGTAAGCATTTTACTAGGGGCTAGTTAATATTTTTCAGCTGCTTACCAGGTCCGTGACTCTTGGTACTAGGCGCAAAGCGTGTCTTTTTGGTTACGCAAGAGGGCATTTCTGTTCCTTAGAATGGAATTGAAAGAAGCTTGGTTAATTTGTTGAGCTGATGAAAAGCTAGATTATTTGGATTTCTTTTGCTGCAGATGGAAGCTGGATGAATTGGAGGTTGTTTGTGAGGACTGGCAAAGAAGGAGCTTGATATAAGTACTCCCGTCTTGATACTCAATCGACAGGTAAGAAAGAATGACTCCATTTTAGCCCTGCTGATATCTACCCCTTGATTGCATTCAAAGTAGCCATTTCTCTTTGTGAACCCTGATTCTATTCAGGCTTGAATGGGGCTATATTTGGCAGTCGGTTCTCAAAGGCCATCCAGTTTCCATCAAAGAAGCTAGTGTCGATCATCCGTCTGCGTAAAGCATCAAGGCCATCAAAGCCATCAAAGCCATCAAAGCCATCAAAGCCATCAAAAGCGGGACTCCACGTTCAATGGCATGTTGTGAGTCACCACCAATAGCTCTTTTAGATTCAACTGCTCTCGTCTCATGCCCTGTGCCAGCCTAGTATGGAAGTCCATTAAACTTCTTCATTGAAGGTTGTCAGCTACTGTGATTCACAGCAACATACATCGAGCCGATGGTGAAATCTTGTCCTATCATTCAACTTTTACTGCACCGCCCTTTGAACCCATGAATTCCCTTTACTGTGCTCCTCGTGATAGATATACATGGGAGAGCTTTGAATGAGTCACCTTCCGTTGAAGTTATTGCTGCCTGATATTCGGACTCGCTTCTCAATGTTCGATTCCAGAAGTCATCAATTGGTTCTGATTGTCGCGTTGAACTAGTCCTGGTCATGGTCTATACAAGCATATCATGTCGATAGCGAATGCCGCTGCACCTATCGTGAGTTTATATCCAGCCAGCTATGAAGAGTGCAGATCTCACTAAGCCCTTGCTTTCTGTACACGTATGCAGCCTGCACGACCCATTCCTCCCGTAAGTGTCATCAATTCATGGATGTTGAGCGCGAAAGAATCATCTGTAGACTATCGTATCCAAGTCTTTCCCTTGCTAAAATTACGACTGCTACACCGCCTATGTGTAAATCCCCTGCTCAGTCTTCGAGAGAAAAATACTCGGTCTAGATTTTTTATATCTCTAATGCCGTCAAGCACAAGCATGCCTCTACCCTCACGATACGAGATCTTTGAGAGGCAGAAACGACCGTCAACTATAATCTAGCTATATACAAAGAAATGAGGAGGGGTAAAACCAGACAACATGTCTTGCGGGAGTGGTACACAGGGATAGCGTAGGCATGCTTTGATTTTCTAAGTTTTCGAAACTTTCCTTGGGTGGGCATTTAAAGAGCAAAGTCGTCAGTTCTACGTAAAAAAACAGAACCCAGCCCGAGCAGAAACGAACTCGGATGCCTCGGCATCTAGCAACTGCAGATACCAAAAGTTGAAGAACGGCCAATTCTTACCCAAGTAGAGAATCTGAACGACAAAAACTGAGTCTTCAATACTCATCATTCTTTCCATATCGTAACCTGACAAGGCCCCAAAGCAATCTAGCAATGCAAACACGAGATTAGCACATGGGGCTCAACTCGCATTTACACAGAAGAAAAGTAACCGAAGTATGAAGTCCAGGTTATCCATGTAGCTACCATCCTCAGAGCCCCATGTATATGATCGTGCTCTGCCTCTAATAGTCAAATGGTAGAGCTGGGATCTGGAGACAAGCCAAAGATCAGTCCTACGAAGCCATGATAAACAATCCTGGAGACATCAAAGCGATAACACAGTGGATCCTAAATCATGGTTGGATAAAGCAATTCTAGATGACGAAGGCGGTCGAAATGCTGCTAAGGGGAAGGAACAGGTCAAGTAAAGCTTCGGGCGGTTAGAGTTTATGTGGTTGGTTTACATGGATGGCAATATAGTGTAACTGCGCTTCTTAAAGAAAATGTGTGAAAACTAAAGATAACAAGCAGAAAGGTGTGGGGGTTTTCACCATAAAGGTTTCCTTCCGTTTAATATTTTTGATTGTAGGCACTTGTATGGGATCATTGGGCGCCAAATCAGGATAATGAATTCAAACTCAAACATAACTCAGTGGCATTTGCAAATGAGCCCCAGATTACGAGGGCCTCCAATGTCAAAGGAATCATTCAATATGCATAAATCTCACCCATCATATGGCATAGCTGTGTAGCTAGATTTATGTTAAATAGTTCAAAAGTGTTTGAATTTAGAATAATTGGGGCTATCAAGCAGGCCACGTTGTTGGTACACGTGTAGCTACAAATTCTGTACTTAGTTTCACTTCGGTAGTCAATTGAATCAATGCGCTCTACGACCTCAATGACTGAGGGGTCATTATTTCCTTAATAAAAAGATCTATTTCTTCTGATATTGCATCATCCTAGCGTGGTCATAGGTGGAGTTATCCTCAGAACTACTAATAGGCTAGATTGAGATTTTTTACATCACTTAATTGTACAGAGGGAAGCTAGAGTTAAAGCAGTATTTTTTCAACTTCTGAATTTGAAATTGACATTTTATCCATACCTCACATGATTTTTTTTATCTTGCCATACTACCTTGTTTGCTCCAGAATTTCATCTCACCTCTTTTCATCTCGAATACTTGACTAGAATCTTCAAAGTAACACTCGTATTTACTATCATTATCACTCTGTGTATTCAAGTCATGGGATCCGGCCTTGAGAAGATTAGTGATAGGATTATTGAGAAAGAAAAGTGACAGTGGTGAGATTATACAGGGGGTTTGATACTACAAATAGAGGATTTTTACGGTATTGAAGTGGATGTGTAGATAAAACGCGCGTTTAATAAGATGGACTGAGGGCTTTGAAACGTATCACGTAGCTCTCAGAGCTGCATTTCCCATAAATTAGTGGGAACCATATTACGTTACTACATACTAGTGTGCTTGTAAGATTTGGAGTTTCCTGATAGAATTAGAGAGATCAATGGACAACTTTAACTAGACCAAACTAATTTTAAAGGAATTCTATGATTAGAGATTACAGTCTTGATTTGAGTTCAAAGTCTAGCGTAAGCTAAGGCGCTGCGGATTCTCACGATCCCGCAACCCGGCACGTAGGTCTTTTTTTTTTGCATCAGATTTTAATTGCGTATGCAGCTATCTAGCTATGACACATTATCAAAGAAGAGTACAGAATAGATGATTCAACGTAAAGGAAGAGCACTCATGCCTCGCCTTTCATTTGCAAGTACCACTGCGAAGTTATGGTGGCTTTTTCTTCACCCCAAGTGAACCATCATCCGTGAATACTCTCCCAGGAGAGCGTCTCAAATCCCTGAGTTATCTAGACATGCCATCATCATCCATTAACTTTTCTCCGCGAGATATATGGTATAGGTGTCTCCTTCTCAAGTGGAGTAGGTGCCCAGGCTACTCAGACTATACCAGAGAACACCACCAGGAGGCGGACAACGGCACCTTCCATCGTTGGCTTGTGTTTATAATGTCAGCTGCACTCTCGCTAGCGAAGTATTGGCGCGCACAAAGCTCAATTTGTAAAAACTCCTTGCCAAAATTCGGAATCTCACGCCCTTCAAGGTAATATCCTTTCTTTGTATCATCTTGTCAACTTATCCTGATCCCTCTCACGTCGGCACGTAGGTCGCATATTGCAGTGGAACACATTTCCCATTTGAGACAATATAAGATTGTGTCGATTCAAGTAATACCAAACTTCACAGTCTCTGGCGGTGATACTGTTTTAGTAGGGCGGCAAATGCAGACTAGTGTAAACACGATGGCTTCGCGAATTTCCCAGTGGTTGTTACGTATGAAAAGGACATGTGGTGCGAGAATTAACTTCGAGTTATATCAGCAAATGAAATATGAGCATGATTGTTCTATGCGTCAAAACGAGATACCCCACATCAAATACATGTCTTCCGAAAATACCAGCATGGGCTTTGTGGCGACAAATCAGGATAATTCGGGGTCTATTTCATTTATTAAACACCCGGCACTTTGCCTATTTAATCCGCTTTAGGTATCCTTCTTTAGGCATCAATATCCTAGTTACTGCAAAGATATCTTTAGCAAGCGGCGATCTTCACCCATGTCAGCGCATGCCATAACGCTGATGCAGGGTTTCTTTCTAAACGGCAAGTGAGGGCGCTATGCGCTCTGTATGCTGCGAAACTAACTGGATTTGAGTTCTCGATACCCGCAGCGGCATTCGTCTTCAACATGATATGCTTGCACACATCATGTCTAGGCTCAGCTTAACGCAGAGGTCAGACAGATTTGTTCACATCTGCATTCATCCAATGACACGCGTACACATACACCAGGCAGCGATAAATTCAGCGAAAGATGGGCCATTCAAAGTTATCCCTTGTTTGCTGTGCCCAGACTTACAGCCAAGCGACTCCATGGGTTCAGAGGGCGGTACAATAAATGCTAAATGATAGGACGAGACTTACCAAAGAATGATAAATGCAGGTGTATATCGCTGTAGCCACCAATTTTAGCATACAAGATACAAGGATGATAGTTCTGGCCGGCCACAATACACCATACGAGAACAGTTGAATTCAGAAGAATTATTGGAGGTTATTTACATGTCTACCTTTAAATCTGGAGGTAGGTTTTTCCGTTCATTTACTTCACGTAGATGGCCCGTTGATGCTAGCTTCTCCGATTGGTGTTGGTCGGCCATTCCGAGTGTTCATTGTAACCTGGCAGTCTACTACTCCCAATAGAATTGTAACCTAGAAAACATCAGTAACTACCATGAATGGAGATATCCAATTGATAGCGACAGGGAACATTTCGGGCTACTTTTATTTCGTGCCAGTAATCTGCATGATGGAAGCTGAAATACTGTGTTACGAACTCATGGGACCTGCATATCATGTAGGTTCCTGACATGATCAGTCGCTTTTTACTGGGTTTCATTATGTGATGAGATAGCGCTTCAGGCTACGTAGGGATACACGAGCAGCTGTGTCGCGTGAATACTAAGAGTTTATTGATGGATGATCTACGCCCGTTTGGACTTGTGGTCATTTACAATTTTGCCCAGTTTTTGTGCCACCAACTTTCGTACTTTAAATGGCTGACTCCCACCCGAAGTCCATTACCATCCCCATGACTTATAATTAATCAACCAATTTCTCGAGGGATGAATTGTCTATCGCATGACGCAATGTTTCTCACAGCTCGAAAATCCGAAAATTACACATGACTATCCTGGAGTCAAAATTTCTCTTTTAATAACTAAATCAACACACCCCAAGGAGGCTTCAACATGTTGCAGCAAATTACAATTTAAATGAAACAGCTAAATATTTTTTTAATTTAAACTTATTCTTTCTCGGAGTGATGCCGTCTTGCATTCCCTAAAAGACACACATTGCGCCTGGTACCAAGAGTCACGGACCTGGTAAGCAGCTGAAAAATATTAACTAGCCCCTAGTAAAATGCTTACAAAGAGTTTCTCACAGATGAAGTTTTAGATGTGGCATATCTGCAAGAACTTCTTGGGGCCGTGAGGACAGGTATTCAAGACGAGAAGAGGAGAGTGCGGGAGCTCTCGGCTCACAACTCTAAGCTTCAAAAGCGTCTGGACGACCTTAGACGAAAGGAAGAAGAGCTGATAGCCATGACGAAAGATCTCCAACGAGAGGTCCGCAAGGAGAAACTGCGAACGGAACGGCTCAGACACCAATCTCAGAGTGCGAGAGCTTCCCGGTTAATGGTGCAAAACTGTAACGGCTACCCGCCTTTGCCGGATAATCATTGGAACCCATACAAGCCTCATTTTGTAAATGGGGCTTATAACCAAATGTCGCAGTTTCCTGCCAATCCACACTTTGTGGATCCTAGAGAGTTTATGAGCCAATTTCCGTCTAACCCTCCAACCTCTCACGGACCTATCTATCATCAGGTTCAACCGTCTCAGCCACCACCACCGCCAAATTGCTTCCACAATCCTCACTTATCTCAACCTGGAATGCCAGCATAAACACTATTTCCTTGCCATCAAAAATGATCGGAATAGAGGGAAGTTAAATAATCGGGCTACTGATTAGAAGAGGTCACTGTATGATTAACTTGGGTGGAACCTGGAATGAAATTTACGGCGAAATGACGAAGTTAAGATTAGAGGTGCATGGTCGTGTGGCAGCCTGGAGAACTAGAGCGACTCAATAACTAGTCTTTGAACACAGAATCAGATGAATGTGACTTTGGAGGTAAAGATTCGGTGGTAGATAGGAGTTAATTAGCAGTTGAAATTTTAGATGGGATTTCAAATAAATACGGGAAACAATTATTCGGTGAAGAACGTTGGTGTCTTGGGAAAAAAACAGGTCAATAACGGCCAGCACTGGACAATATTAATGAAATCTACAGACTCAGATGATTTATGTGTGTGTATTATTGTACTGCTTGAGTCATAGACTATCAAATACAATGGGCTCCTCTCTGGCACAGGTTATACCTTGTACAGTGCTCCTTGCCTCTCACGTTTCTTAAAAAATCATGGATTTACTGCCCATGATGAATAGCTATTCAGCTCAGTGTTTACCCATGGAATTCGGCCACCTTGTCCACTGAACTTTCTATACCCCAAAAATAATGTTAGCAATGGCAGTTGCGTGCGCGGGAAAAAGTCTCAAAAAATCCTATAGCCCCAGCCATGCGAGGCCTATACACCAGGATCACATGATGTGCGCACATTCATCTATATCTACCTTCATTGTAACAGTCGAGGTCGATTTAATCCAATCCGCCGTCTCCGTATCGGGTGCTGGGTACGCTCCGGAAACTCATCGGATGGCTTTTCCTCCATGATCAAGGGCTGGTGATGAGTAGGGCTCCGACCTTATCATTTTCTCTGATCGTGGCTAGCTTTACGATAATGGTGATAGGGGAATGTGTTGAGAGATGAAGACAATACCCACAGTGGAAGCCATTGGGAATCATCATCGAAGTGAGGACTTTGTGATTTTTAGGGTGTCAAATTCGCACTAGCATAAACATGGGGGTTTCAAGCTGTTACCTATGGTAGGTATGTACAGTAGAGGTTATTGGCCGTATGGGTTAATCTTGAGTGGTATCTGAAAATGGAATCTGAGTGTGAGTATCCCATACATCGAAATAAGTCATGCAGTACAAAACACATATTCGCTGAAATTATCTGCAGTGTCCCTCAGCGCTCCAGATAATAATAGTTGAATATTTTATTGAAAGAAGTTCTCCGGGCGGCCTATCCGAAAGCTTGGTCTTGGGGCGAAGAAGCGTTCATAACTTTGTTGTAGTGCTTGCGTACGAAATTCAAAACATGAATGAAAAGTTTTGAAATTCAGTCAGTCATTCAGTACATTACAGTCGATATTGTAGCATAGCCGGTTATATGCATACGAAATTTCAGTCTGGCGCAGAGAAATAAATTTTGACATGATAATTATGGTCACATTCTATAATGTATGACCTCAAACTTACTGGGATTAGGACTTCAACGTATCCTCGGGAAAATTTAAACGTCACTCGAATGTGAAAGAGCTGGACTGCCTGGCATTTGAAAATTACAGCCGAAGCTGTTTTGAAGCTATAATCGAGACTTGATGGGCGGCATTTCACTCGCCATGATCCAATCCGTTGCAGAATGGTATTTGAAAACAGTATCTAGAGGCGGTCAAGTATTTGTCATAGCCACAGATTATTGCAAAAGCTTTGAGAAAAACTAAACCTAAGCTATCGTTCTTCGGGTTACAAGCAAAAAGGGCGAGCATTAATTCTTCCGTGTGTAGGGGATGGCCCGTTTTTCTTGCCAATTTCCGTGAGTGTAATTGTACGGGTAGCAAGCTGTTGAAGACGGAGGGCAAGACTGAACACCTTTCAGTGGTGCCCTCAACGAACCTAGGAGTGAAACAATCTCCCAGAGCCAAGTTCAGTCAATTTCGCAATACCGAACAAGTCGGCCCACGAGGCAATAATTCAAAATACTCCACCACGTTAACTTTTCATTCCAAAAAGATAGAATCCTACCTAAGCCTCATCAAGTCTACAAGTACGACCTAGTACATTCTCATTCCAATGATCACACCTCTCGTCGACTTTCTCTGGCCTCAGCCGGTCACCAAATACACGCCCACGCCGATATTTATACCCGACGGAGGAAATAAAGCGTGGCGCATAAATCTGGGAGACAGTCCTTTGGGATGGACGTGAGAGGATTCAGGACAAGTTTACAAGATGATGCGAAGGATGGATACAGTCTCGACGGGCGTCGAATTTTGGCAAGGAGTGTTTACAAATTGAGCTTTGTGCGTGCCAAAACTTCGGTTGCGAGAGTGCAGGCGACACTATAAAAACTGCCATGGTTGGATGGTGCGGTGGTACATTGTATTGGCCGGTCTGCCAAGTAGAGTCTAGATAGCTTGGACATATATCCCACTCGAGACAGTAGATTGCTTGTTCAAATCCGGCAAAGCACAACCACTTCTCTCGCGGCGCTGGTATGCATGGGTGATGAAGGCATGCTTGGATAGCCAAAGGTTTTGAAACATCCCTTTGGTGGCCACTTTCGGAGGAGGGTCGAATGTTTGTGTAAGCAAGCATACCACATCGTGGTTTTTGCGAATGAAATCCAGAGTATAAGTGTCTCTAACGTCACAAGAGTCATCCTGCATGTATACACAGCACCGGTCATGTGTCATAGCTCCATAGCTGAATACTCTTAAATGATTTTTAAAAAAAAAAGCTGTTGAAGACAAGCTGATGCACGTAGCTCCGACCGCATATGTAATAAGACATAGGGCCCACTTTAAGGTTATTGGTGACAGCGGTCCGCATCAGACCTTGTCAAGGTTTCTATATGCAATATAGACTTTGCCAATACGAACAACGGAGACATTCTGTGGAGATGATGCACGTTAATAATGTGAGACGTGAAGCCACACAACATACATCGAATAAACCTTGGCGGTACATTTTCCGAAAACTTAGACAGAAAAATGGCACAGGGCTGTTTGGTAAATGTGAAAATTATTTGACCTCCAAGGATAACACCCATAGAGAGAGTTGACTTCCATACAGAGAGACGGGCTTGACTAACAGTGTAATCACTTCATTCAGAAAATAGAAAGACTAGGAAAGTTTTCCATCCCAGCTGGAATATATCAATCTTTGCACCAAGAGAGCTGTCAATGTGCACCATTGAAGACTACAGTTATCATTACATTGTCTTCAGGATTGTTTTAGACTCTACACCTTATACGATCCAATCTAACCGACTATATGTTTCTGAAAATAAGTTTTAGAATTATTCCTGTTTGACTCTATTGCAAAGAATTCATGGATATCGTCTTAATATTATTCTCTAGTTTCTATTACGCTATATTTACACTTATCTGAAAATCTGCAACACAAAGTCTAAGTTGATACTTCCTAATCCTGAAGTCTGATAATCAATCATTGCAAGTAAGTTCATAAAGACAGGAGCGCAATAAATAAATTTTTAAAGTGTCATTCTATAACTTGTGATGAGACAAAGAATTCCACAAGAGTGACTAAATCTATCACATAGTTCGGCTTCGTATAATGTCTGTAGATAGTGGAGTAAAAAATACATTCCACAATCCTCACTTACAACTCTCGAAGACCAAGTGTCTAATCGGTCCAAAGTATGGACTCTATTCAACAAATAAGATGTCCTTATTCAATGGACGAGGTCATTGAACCCCGATTCTCGGGCAACTGGTCGAAATTATACTAAGCTCCCTGAAAGAAGGCTATATTGATTGATAATTTTACGGTAATTCATCACAATTTAGATCTTTTCTTCTAGTGGTATGAGCCAAGATTACAACGCACAAGAGTAATAATCACTGTAAGTAAATGAAAAACTTCGAGGTGATTTCGTGATGAATAGACGAATAACGGAGCACTGAATGAAAAGTCTTTCTAGGTTGTATTACCAGAAAGATGGTGCTAGAATAAATCAAGCTCTCAAGTAACCAGGATTGTCTGCCATATATCGCCCGACCTCGTACTGGCGCAGCTGATACCTACCTTACGGCGCTGTCCCATATCATGGACATTCAGATAGATCAAGAATTGTTCCGAGTCTATTTTGCGATACTCAATTTCCAGGATTGATTGTTTAAGGACTGAAAACATTCCACCACGTAGTGCTATTCCATTAAATATAGAGCATTGCTATCTTCCGTGTCGAGGGAAGTGTGTAGAATTTTGAAGGGGACTCTGTATACAACAATTTAATTAACTCCTGGATACATGGAATACTTTTAACCAGAATACTTGGGAGATACAGTATCTAATTGGGTGTCATTATTTATCTCTACCCCTAGTACTGAACCTCGATGACACGCGGTCAAGAATCACGACGCGTCTCTGAAGACGGAATAAGCGGGCCACAGCTATAACAGCGCAATCGATTCGGCTCGAGAGGATTCATGGGTTATCATGCGGGGCCATTAAGTGACATAGGCGGCCTAAAAAAGACCTACAAAGATTCATGTGCCTGAGCTCCCCGGCGATAATTGTGGTTTTATCCTTTGCGTACTCGCAGCGCAACAACCTCAAGACATACGAGAGGCGAAGATGTGATTTTTGGGTCTCAACTAGATTCAAAATTTCAACAGTTATTGTCAATTTATTGTTTTAGGTTGTGTGACTTTCGCATAAATGTTGTATAAGTCTGGAAATGGCAGACTCTTGTATCCTAGATGTTATTCAAAGGAAATTTTATGAGAGACATCCGTTTGTAAATATGAGTAGACCCTCTCTCGTAAGTATCCAACATGTAGGAGTCTCAACACCTGTGGCTTGCGAGTACTACCCTAAAATGTGGTCAGTTTGCAGGATTCGTGCCGGCGATATTCAACTTCACCCTAGAAAAAAGTAGAAATTATCTCGGCTTTATCTAAAAACCTCCCTTGCATGGCTTCTGTCGCTCCACATAGTCATAACTATCACTTGGTTCGAGAAAACTATCGTGAATCATGTCGTAGTACCCACAATGCTCGAAAATGCGAAAAGATTATCCCCAAAAATACCGGTTCCCACGATTTCTCAAGGCAATTTACTTTGTCAGAAACATCATTAATAATTTTGAAAGTATTTCTCTATCAATTTTCAAAGGTTTTCCCACCTGATTTGTGTGCCGCCATGTCCAGTACACTGTCGGTGTATATATTGTCGTGTTCTGGTAAAGTTGGGATATCTCCCTTGAAAAATTTTCTAAACTAATGAAGAACTAATTATTTAGGTTTCAAACAAGTCTTTTAGAGTCTAGGACTCAGGCGAGACTTGAATTTAAATCAATCAATATAATGTCGTGAGAATGTAATCGAAGGATGGAGACGGGGACGGTGATGAGTATTTAAAATGAAAAGGGAGAATACATAGCCCGACTTGCAGAAATAATGGGACTAACTCATGCACAGACATGATTTATCGTTTGTACTTGTTGAATCATCATGACTATGTCTCACTGATAGGAGTAATATCATTGAATAGTCACTAGAAATCTACACAAGAACCCAAACACGCAACTAAGACTGGGAGAGATTAATCGAGTGAGTAATTATTCTGATTAGCCTAGATATAGAGGAACACAATCTGGTTGATTGGCTCGAGGTGAATGAGCCTGAGTATATTATGTTTAATAAAATATATAGAAATCTCTCTCAATCACAATCATCATCTTAATTTATGGCAATATCAACAGCTTTCAAGGAAAGTTTTACCATTTTCTTGTAGACTTTGACTGAAATCATCCTACTGAGACCAATTGGGTTACGATGCTAGAGTTTCCGAATCATTACCTTCATCACCTATTTTCGTGACGCAAACCTGGGTTGTACTTGGGCACTGGAAGAATTATCCCATCTGTGATGGGCTATGACCGTATTGAGACTGGTCACTAGGACTACTATGTCAAGGAGGTTAAACTGTAATAGAGCAGCGCTTCTGGAAATGCGGAGGATGCGTTTAAGAATGTATCTGGGAGGGTACGTACCAGATGTAGAGTATGGTGCGGGAGAAATGAGAAGCCGAGGAATAAGGAGTTTTGTCGGTTAGTCAATGTGGGAAGTTAATACAAGTCTCCGCAGAGGACACAAAGGACAGGAAAAGACGCGGTAGATTAGCTTTCCAAGAATAGAATAGCAGAGAGTTTAATTGATGTCCCCACCGAGTCTATGGCTGTGAAGGATAGCTAAAACTATCTTCGTAGCTTTAAAGTAAATTGTAAATTGTAAATTTGGATATTGATATACTTAATTTCTGCCAAAAGATGTTGAGGGTTATACCCCATGGCTTTCCAAGGAAAAATTAGAAGTACATCTGAATACCCTAAACCAATCTATAATTACGAGTGTGAGTGTGAGATAACAGCACCGGAGTGGTATCCAATCTTCATTCTTCAGTATTTCAACTTGAGATGCAATAAAGAGATATCTTTGTCGAGTATGTCATCGCGATTTAGCAGTATCAAACGAATGATAAGGCCCTTGCGACCAAACGGCTTTCTAATTCACGCTACGATACGTGTCGAAAGGAGAGCTCAGAGCTTGGAAACGCTAGGGTTCAGGGTACTAGGAACTTTTGATACTGCCCATCAGATTCCTTTGTTGACTAAGGTGTGCGCCTGATGCAAGGCATTTACAGGGTTTTGGATGTCGAGAGCGCTCCGCATTAGGTTTTCTCCTCGATTGAGATGATGGAGTGTGCAGCTGAGGCGACAGTATGCGTCATGTTTACAGCAGAACCGCCTTCTTTGTCGCTGGCATGGTTAAAGTTGACGGTTGTTTCTGCCTCTCAAAGATCTCGTATCGTGAGGGTAGAGGCATGCTTGTGCTTGATTGCATTAGAGATATACAAAATCTAGACCGAGTATTTTTCTCTAGAAGACTGAGCAGGGGATTTACACATAGGCGGTGTAGCAGTCGTAATTTTAGCAAGGGAAAGACTTGGATACGATAGTCTACAGATGATTCTTTCGCGCTCAACATCCATGAATTGATGACACTTACGGGAGGAGTGGGTCGTGCAGGCTGCATACGTGTACAGAAAGCAAGGGCTTAGTGAGATCTGCACTCTTCATAGCTGGCTGGATATAAACTCACGATAGGTGCAGCGGCATTCGCTATCGACATGATATGCTTGTATAGACCATGACCAGGGCTAGTTCAACGCGACAATCAGAACCAATTGATGACTTCTGGAATCGAACATTGAGAAGCGAGTCCGAATATCAGGCAGCAATAACTTCAACGGAAGGTGACTCATTCAAAGCTCTCCCATGTATATCTATCACGAGGAGCACAGTAAAGGGAATTCATGGGTTCAAAGGGCGGTGCAGTAAAAGTTGAATGATAGGACAAGAGTTCACCATCGGCTCGATGTATGTTGCTGTGAATCACAGTAGCTGACAACCTTCAATGAAGAAGTTTAATGGACTTCCATACTAGGCTGGCACAGGGCATGAGACGAGAGCAGTTGAATCTAAAAGAGCTATTGGTGGTGACTCACAACATGCCATTGAACGTGGAGTCCCGCTTTTGATGGCTTTGATGGCTTTGATGGCTTTGATGGCCTTGATGCTTTACGCAGACGGATGATCGACACTAGCTTCTTTGATGGAAACTGGATGGCCTTTGAGAACCGACTGCCAAATATAGCCCCATTCAAGCCTGAATAGAATCAGGGTTCACAAAGAGAAATGGCTACTTTGAATGCAATCAAGGGGTAGATATCAGCAGGGCTAAAATGGAGTCATTCTTTCTTACTTGCCAATGGAGGACCATGACAGAAGTTCTTATATATAGCTCTTCCGCTACCAGTCATTCTCTTCAAGTATCCAATCTCCATTTTTGTCGGAAGAGTTTCTTATATTCAAGCTTTTCATCAGCTTATTAAATAAACCGAGTTACTTCCAATACTATATCAAATTTAACTTGTAACTATGCCGTCTTGCATAACAAAAAAGACACGCTTTGCACCTGGTACTAAGAGTCACGGACCTGGTAAGCATTTGAGAAATGTTCACTACTCTTTGATTATCATGCTTACACAGAGATACCCAAAGACGAAGTATTGGACGTGGCGTACCTGCAAGGACTTCTCGGCGATGTAAGGACGGGAATCCAAAATGAGAAGAGGAGAAAGCGAGAGCTGTCGGATCAAAATGCAAAGCTTCAAAAATACGTCAAAAATCTCAGACGAGAGGAGGAAGAGCTGCTTGCAAAGATCGACTACATAAAAAATGAGCTCTGCAAAGAAAAGTCACGAGCAGCGTGGCTAAAACAACATTCAAAGAGGTCAAGCGAGTCCCGGTCGATGGGGCAGAATTCCAATGGTTTCCAGCACTTCTTGCAGGACAACCACTGGATACCACACTCGTCGTACCCTAGAAATCGAGCGTTTACTCCAGCGCCATATAGTCAGGTCAGTCCTAGCTACATGAGCCATGGAGGATTCGTGAATCCATATCCGCCTCAACATCCACGGCCACATGGAAACACGTATCATTTTCAACATCCACCAGTGCCACCACATCCATCACCGTCAAACTACTTTCCCAATCCCCACTATCCTCAGTCAGGAAACCCACTGTACAATGGATTTCCTGGCCCTCAATATTACCCAGGAAGGATGGGAGTGCCACAATACGGCTATTGACTGGGGCTGGTCACGACGTGTTGAACTTTGGTGGATCCTGGATTGAATCAGAAGCGAAAGGAAGGATTTCAGTTTCTTGATACTGCGAGAAAAAGGCAAGAAGCAGCATAGAGAGTGAGATGAGACAAATGAAATACAGAAGATTAGATGTTGAAGTAAGTTTAGTTTACACAAACTTCGTATCTTCTCTAACCAGTATGGGCAGTTACTAATTTAAACTCGAATTTCAAGCTAGGGCCCAATGCCTTATTCCTTGAATGTAAGATGTATCACGGGATCCGATCCTTGAGTTTGCACTATCAGCGCTAGTGCAGCAGGGGTCAGTCTAGATATTATTTAAAAATTCATTTAATTATCCTTTGGCAGTCTTGGATTATTGTCGGCAAAAGGATCATATTTGGGCTTTATGAAATGTTTCATACTATTACGGTGTTCAGGATGTTGTCAGGACTATGATAGGGATCAGACTTAGCTCATTAGCGAGGCGCTTGGAGCAGAGGAAGAGAGAGAGAGACAGCAACATATGTATTTCGAGATACCAATAAATTTACTTTATTCGCCGAATTTGTGACAGATAGCTGACTCCGTGATAGCGCCAAATTTGTACTACTTCATGTTTTACCGACAATTATTATTGGAATACTCGGGTGGTATTTATATCACAAGCTATCTATGTTAGTAATAACAATTAGTAGTTAAAATCTATCTTGATTCTTGCCTATCTAATTTAAGGAAACAGGTATATAAAGTATTATTTCCCCTCCACTCCCCTTACGCCATTCCTAAATAGACAACTAATTACTCATCAACATAATTGATCATCATTTGTAAAATAATACATGAGGTTCATTAAGTCATTCGATAATTATGTTGAAGATATATGTCCTCTTTTTTGTGATATAGAGCGTGTCTAGCTACAGTGAATACCAATGGAACAGTGTAGATATGGTTGCTTAGTGTTGTGATGGGCATGTTATACAGCTAGGATACTTGCATGTACATAACGTGATTAGATGTTTACGCTGTTTGTGTAGTTCCTGTATCGTTTGGGATATCTGCAGGAGGAAGCTCATGTGGTCAGGAGCCGACTAGCGGCCGCACATGAGTATAAGTAGCGAGTGCTCGGCACACAATTAGCATAGTACAATTAAAATACAGTGAACCTCAGATACATCTTCAACCACAACCTGAACTCATCAATCTACATACTCATACAAGGTCAGCATGCATAGTGACACTAACCTAAGCTCGTAACCACAATACTTAGCAACATAAAGTGTTAGTATCTGCTACAGTAGCTCTAGTTTTTGTGTGCACAGCTGGATTGTTATAAAAAAACATCATTTCTCATGAGGGTGTGCGCAGTAATCCACGCTACCTCTACCATCAATTTGAGCTTGTGGCTTGCATCCAATTTGATATAAACTTCACTCTCATCTAGACAACCACCATATTGTAACATGATGGGTTTTTCATAACTGGCCATGAAGACAATGATACTAACCAAGAAATTGGTGAAGTTTACATGAACTCAGAACCCAAAGCTGATGATGATAACCAGTACGAGATATCTTTGTTAGTGTTACTCCAAGATCAAGCAAATTTTCACGGGCTCACCAGTCTAATGTCACAAAACATCTCTGGGATGTTGCGTCGCGCCCGGGCAATCGAGTCATGATGTACATACAATAACATAATTTAGGAGTTGTAATGGTTACAGTGTTGTGATAGCAAAAGTTGCCATTCGGAGTACTAGTTAGTTGCTGTGTTATGGCTATGGACTACTACACCCTTGGTTATAGTATTGATGCCCGTGTACTTAAGGAAGCTCTAGGACTGGATTTGTACTATAGCTTTTTGTCTTGTAAATTACTCATGTTTTAGAATCTAATTATTAATCTGAATATCTCGTCCTCATTATCAGCTTCTGTCTTCGTCCTCGTTCGCGCTCTCGCTCTCGTCTACGTCCAAGTCTTCGTCCTCGTCAAAGTTTCGTCCTCGTCCGTGACATCTAACTTCAACAATATACAAGTGCAAAGAGTATCTTAGATAAAGATAAAATTGTACCAGGTGGCATGGAGTCATGATTGACACTGGAGAAGGCAAATATTCGACTGCAGGTTATCAACAATACATTCCAATATTCAAATTGGAGCGTAGGTGTTTGACCTGAAGCGGAATAGAAGGGCGAGAGGAGGTCGGATGGATCGCTAGAGATGGCTGAAGGTTTTCATGGATAAACGTGGCGGAAACTAGGATGGTGTCTCATGGGGAGTTCCAATCTAAAACACAACTCGGGGTTAGATCAAGTTCTCAAACAATTAGGACAGGCTCAGGAACATAGGATAGTTTCATAGGGAATGCGTAGTAATACTGTTCGAGACAGAGCTTAGGGCTGTCCTATTATCTGATGTACATATATACCCAGCGTGAAGGGGTGTTCTTCTTCACGCAACGTCTTCTGTTTATACTCATACCTATTGTTCACTTACTTATCTCTTCTCTAAAGAAGACCGCTGTTATTGTACCCTTCTCACCTACTACTTATTTTACCTTTACTTCTTACGTGAACCCTATACCTAACGCTGAATTTATACCTCCTACTCTTAGGAATCACCACCATACTCCACACCTGTAACCTATTTGTACCAAATTCGTACCCTACGGAATACTAATAACACTGCTCCTTGAGAAGGTCTACTGGAGATTACGAGAAGGAGCTAAAGGTTTGAAAGGTGGGTAATACAGATTGCTAAAATGTCTAGAGGTTCGAGTGGGTACTAATAGTAACTAAAGGTACAAAAAGTAACTGGAGGTGACAAGAGGTAATCCGATGTTATCCGATGATGGTGGTTGTGACAGGAAACTAAGTGTAGAAAACTTCACATGTACAGACCATGCCATCATATATATACCTACCCTCCTTCCACTAGCTCATCATAAAAAAGACCTTAACCCAGTATCAACATGATACCATGTTGTGGATCCTGAAAAGATCTACATTGTCACGGGCTGGTCAGATTTTGGATGTACAGTACGTGGACAAAATGCTAGTGTCTTATGGTCTCACACAATCAGATTGCACAGTCACAAGAGCAGATCTCAATGGAGCTGAGGGGTAATAGAGTATTGATGTATATAGGTGCATAGATATCCTACATTTAGGGGGATGTAGAATTCACGTATTAGTCTCAAGCTCTACGCAAGATCCATTGTAGTTAGGAGCCACGAGACACCACGTGATAACATTTCATTCTTACAGACTCACACCCACCATTTACTGAGTACACAATGCGCGCCCAGAAACCTCAATGTGTCAAGGACTTTACTGTTGTCATAGCAACATAGAAAGAATGGTAAAATTATATACTGAAGGAAGGATTGGAAGAGGAATCCTTACACCATTTGAGCGCAAAATAGAAGATATCAATTTTAAGTAGGTCAACTAAAATCTCGGTTGCTTTTGGCAAAGGTTCTACTTGTGATTTTCTGGGCTTCATTTATATAGAAGCTCCAATGGTGTAACGGCTGGTAAGTCGACTAGTCCCTGTAGCGCATGTTGGTCAACATGAGCCTGGCCTAACATTGGTAGCGCACGATTGATCAACATCAATGCACGGATATATGATGCCACTCAACAGAATATCAAGGTATTGGCATCTAGTTTGGCAGGGCAGCAGTATTGGACCGTACAGCTACAACACATTGAGATGTTATAACAAGTAGGGCCAACACAGGTGAAGAATCCCATTGGAACCGAGACAGAGGGACTGTGCCTCAAACACATAGACAATGTAGATATATGTATAGATAGAGACTGAAGTAGTTCTATCTTCAGAATGATGATTTACATACTATTGACCTGTAACAGCTACAAAGCCGATATTTCCTGTAGCCAGTACTTGCCAGTACTGGCGTACAACCACCGGAGAACGGTGTTAAGGTTATGAGTCATATGGGAACATAGTTACTTGTCACTTGTTATGTCTGATTGGAGTATGTAGAGGATGTGTTCAACAGATTTCGATACTGTCAGAAGTATGAATATATGCTATCTTATATACATCTGTATGACCCATGTCATAGTCTTAGTTCCATCACGTGATTGACTATCTATAGTAATCACATTACCAATCCAGTGCTCATGAATCCACGGTTCATGAGCGGCCATTGCTGCTTCTGCGGCTCTCGTATATCCTCCGCTTGCCAGTCGCATCACTGCTCCTATAATCGCAGCTCAGTACCCTAGTTGAGCGCCCCTGAATAGCTGATCCAGGGGCGACCGTACTGGTTTCCTTTAGTGACACTCGAGATACACCTGTACACTCGATGCTGTTGCATATACGCTGAGTGGTACCCAACCCCTTGCGGCTAGCACTTATATTCCAGGGGCTTATGGTGTCGCTACCCCGATCGCTTCCATGTATAGTTTTTACCTGGGCGCTCCCGCGCCCGAATCTTGGTGGCGAGCAGTAGATGTGCATGTTGCAGTGCTAGGCGTGGGTTTGCACCTCCGGTACCGTGACCGTTATTTGTCGGTACTATCTCAACAAACAGGCAGGCGCAAAAGCCACATAAAAGATACTAGAATCTCCTAAGAAGGGACTAGAAAAGTCTCCATGTGAGTAAGACTGATACTGAACCTTGGAGAAGCTGCTAAAAATGATACCCTTAGAGTAGCAACTGTAATCATCTAGAAATGAGCTGACCATGGAGGGAAGAACTTAGAATGTAATAAATCTGTATATATACCTGGATTAGTATGTAGAACTTAGGTCTTCATAGTTGAATTATAAAATACCATCATCCATATAAATGTTGAAATGTGATATATCTTGGAATGCTAAGAATAACTTATTAGTAAGTCCGGCTAATTTGACTATCAAATTCCCCATTCTATATCACTGTTATCAATACATCATTCACCGAAAGTTTAATGCGCATTAGCGTTTATTTCACACTAGCATTCCAGCAGATGACTATGTCTCAAATGAAGGTTA